GAGCTGCACCAACCCCACGGAGCTGCACAACCCCGCGGAGCTGCACCAACCCCACGGAGCTGCACAACCCCACGGAGCTGCACAACCCCACGGAGCTGCACAACCCCACGGAGCTGCACAACCCCACGGAGCTGCACCAACCCCACGGAGCTGCACAACCCCACGGAGCTGCACAACCCCACGGGGTTCAACCCCTGGCTGGGGTCCAGTATAATGAAGACCTCAACGAAGCAACCCAGAAGCGCAAACATGCAGTTTAATTGAACAAAACAAAATGAAAACACATTCGCACAAACTCAAATCGAGTTAAAGGAAAGCAAGAATATCCGAGGCTAGTAACACGGTTAACACGGTTTAAACACGAGGTTTAGCCTATTGGCTAGTAACACGGTTTAAACACGAGGTTTACCCTATTGGCTAGTAACACGTTTTAAACAAGAGGTCGGCACAGAGGCAAGGTTAAGTTAATAATAATTAGGATCGAGCTAATGAGCGTCGACTTTGCCTCCTGACACGAGACTACCGATATGCGCTTAAACAATGACGTAATGGATGATAAATTAAATAATATAAATGATGACATCACACGAGATGGGTGATGAGGCAGCGGTCACGAGATGGGTGATGAGGCAGCGAGGCAGGATCAATAAATTCCTTAAGTTTTACTCTCTGAAGCCAAAATGAAGGTGGAAGATAATACCATAAACTGCGATGGCCGCGATGTCGTCTTTTTACTTTATTTTGCAGGTTTAACGGCATCGAAGTCTGGCCAAAGAAAAGTTATCAGTAAAAAAATAAGTGGAGCGAGGATAAAATTATTATGAAAAATTTCTAGCGATCTACCCACAAAATAGCGACTTCTTGTCGTAATTTCCGCACCGACATTCAGGAAAAGGGAATTTTACAAAAGGATTCCGTACAATAAAATTGGATCTCGTATAAAAATATGCTCATTATCTCTTGAGTCGTGAGAGAGGTTTTCGCGCAATCGACAGGGTGTCAAAGTAAAGAAATAATAAAGGAAGCTTGTATTTTAATGTATTCAACAATGTTTTGAGTTTGATTTCTAGTTGATTAGCTTCCTTTTAATCCAGGCTAATTTGAATCTTCAAAAGCCGAATCCCAAAATGCGGAATGAGTGAACAAGAAGTTGAAGGTGGATGGTTAAAAGAACACGGTGACGAGTGGGTGACGTAGGAATAAAGTAAGGCTGACCAGTCTCATGATCGGCATAAAGTATACTGCAAAGAAATAAATTTAAATTATAAATCTTGCAAAAATGCCCAGATTAACTAATTACGGTTAAAATAAATGATCAAA